TCCGGACCCGCTGGAGGCGCGTTTTATACTCACACTGTGAAGCTGAAATGGGTCAATACGAACCGGAATCCCAACTCTTCAAAATAAAAGCCTTTTAGTTACCAGTGGTGTCCGGAGTGGGTTCTGCTGGGCCCGGTGTTTCTGACTCCCTGCATGCTTTAGTTCCCTCCTGCAGGTCAGGCTCGATCAGCAGCATGTCGCTGCACCTGAATGGAGAACAAGACTTCCGGGACCGTTTCCTCTAGAGCACAGGTTCCCAAAGCGTGGGGTGGGGGCCCCAGAGGGCCGCAGGAAATTCACAACAGAGACGCTGAAAAGTGACAAACAAAAGTTCTGAAATGTCCTAATCAAATCTCAGACGGAGACGAGTTCTTGGTGCTCATCAGTGTTTATTATCATTTCTCCAGAGTTACATCAGTACTGGTTCATGTTCAAACTTTTATTTTGAAGGGCTCATTCAAAGGAAATCAACAAGAGAAGCCATGCTGACTTTAAGATCAACTCAGCTAGAAAAAGTGTTGGACAAAGTGAAAAAACAAATCATAAAGTCAGTTATTAATGAATGTTTTTATAGATATATTTATTAAATCAGAAAGTTTTAATTATTTTTAAGCTAAAATCTTTTGCTTAAAATAAACTCATTTCATTGTTGTGAAGGAGGAAACCAACAGCACAAAGTATGAGTCGCAGCCCGTTTGGTTCCAGAACCATCTGAAAAATAAGAACAGATTGAAACAAATCAGTCAAAGGAAGCATAAACTTATTCTGTAACTTAATGAACTTCACAGTTTATTATGTGGAGGGAAAATGATGCAGCTCCTTTGATGAAAATATCCACAATTAATTACATTAATCTTTTATTATTTTCTTTTACTGAACAGTTACAAATTAAAACTCAATAAATTGACTTGAAGATAAAAGAAAAACAAATAACTAACAATCAAATTTCTGGCAACAAATTCAGAAATATTGTGATTAATTTGGTATATTTAACAGAAAAAACTTGGACTTTCTCTGATGTCAAAAAGTTGTACGCTTGCTAGAAAAACATTTTTTAAAAAATCATAATTAAATGCATAAATTGATTATAGTAAAACTAGAACATTTCATGATTTTATAAAGTCATAAATTTGTAAGAAAAAAACAGAAGTTTGTTGAGTTTGTAAAGTCAGAAAATATCCCAAGTTGAAAGTAATCAATTTAAGAGAAAATTTGACTGTTTTTCTTGCACATTTAGGATTTAGCATCAGAAATCATCAGTTTTAGTCTGTAAATATCTGCAATTAATGTCAACATTTCTGTTTTACATAACTGGAATTTATTCAGCTGGTTCCACATTATTCCTCCTTCTAGATCTACAGCAATTTAGTTTTCAAACTAAATATTGTCAAAGCTAAATATTAGCACCTGAAATATTTAGTTAGCAAGCTAAATATTTAGGCCTGAGCTAAAAATGTTGCTAGGAAAAATAAATCTGGGTTGAAAATTAAACATTTAATTCCAAAGATAAATACTTAGTTTGGAACTAAATGTTATTTTACTAAAACAAATATTTAATCTGGAGCTAAATATTTTGTTTTCAAACTAAATATTTAGCTCAGGCTTAAACATTTAATTTAGAACCAAATATTTAGCTTCCTAACTAAATTTTTACTTTGAAAGTTAAATATTTAGTACGTAAACTGAATGTTTAGTTTGTTTGGTTTGGAACTGTGATATTTATAAATATATGAAGAAATAACTTGCAGCTGTTTGCAGGAACTCACCTGGCTCCTCAGTCGTCAAGTCCCTTCTTGGAGGATCCGTCTCGGGTTTTGGCTCTCAGCTTGTTGACCTGTGACTCTGCGATGTCTGCTCTCTCCTCGGCCTCCTCCAGTTCATGCTGCAGCTTGCGCAGCTTGGCCATGTGGGCGTTGGCCGCCTCCTCCGCCTCCTCGGCTGCGTGCTTGTAGGACTTCACCTTCAGCTGCAGCTTGTCCACCAGGTCCTGCAGGCGCGCCATGTTCTTGCGGTCCTCCTCCCTCTGGTAGGTGAGCTCCTTGATGCGGCGCTCGTACTTGCGGAGCGCCTTGACGGACTCTCCGCCTCTCTTCTGCTCCGCCTCCAGCTCGTTCTCCAGGTCTTTGATGCGAGCCTCCAGCTTCTGCAGCTGCTTCTTGCCGCCCTTCATGGCGATCTGCTCGGCTTCGTCCAGCCGGTGCTGCAGGTCCTTGATGGTCTGCTCCATGTTCTTCTTCATGCGCTCCAGATGAGCACTGGTGTCCTGCTCCTTCTTGAGCTCCTCGGCCATCATGGCGGCGTCAGTGATGGCTTTTTTGCCTTCTCTTCGGCATTGCGGTTCTCCTGTATGGCATCTTCCAGTTCGTTTTGCAGGCTCAGCAGGTCGGCCTCGTGTTTCTTCTTCTGGTTGATCAGGCTGGTGTTTTGGGAGTGCAGCAGCTGCATCCGCTCCGTCGTGTCTGTAAGTTCCTGCTCCGCCAGCTTGCGACTCCTTTCCGTCTGCTCCAGTGCGGCCCTCACCTCCTCCAGCTCTGCCTGGACCAGGGTACTCCGGCGCTCCAGCAAACCCATGTTCTCTCTCAGGTCATCGTTGCCATGTTGGGCGTCATCCAGCTGGAGCTGAGCATCTTTCAGGAATGCCTGAAGGGTTTTGACCTGCTTCTGAGCGTCTGCCGCTTGCCGGTTGGCCTGGCTCAGCTGGATCTCCATTTCGTTGAGGTCGCCCTCCATCTTCTTCTTGACTCTCAAAGCCTCGTTTCTGCTCCTGGTCTCCGACTCCAGAGAAGACTGAAGAGACTCGAGCATCCTTTGGTAGTTCCTCTTTGCCTGCTCCAATTCCTCGTCTTTCTCAGTCAGTTTACGCTCAATGTCAGCCTTCATTTGGTTGAACTCCATCTGTGTTCGCAGGATCTTGGTCTCTTCATGCTCCAGCGAGCCTTCTGCCTCTTCCAGCGCAGACTGGAGTTCGGCCTTTTCTTGCTCCAGCTGCTTCCGGATCTTCTCCAGCTCGTGAGCGCTGCGGCCGCCCTCCCCAAGCTGTTCAGTTAGGTCGGAAATCTCCTCCTGGAGGTTCTTGTTCTCTCTCTTCATCGTCTCAAGTTGATCCAGGGATTCCTCGTAGGCGTTTTTCAGCTTGAAGAGCTCAGTGCTCAGACAGCGAGCTTCCTTCTGGGAGGCCTCCAGTTCACACTGCGACTCCTCAAATTTCTGTTTCCACTCTGCGAGGATTTTATCAAAGGTCCTTTGCTTTTTGTCCAGCGCTGCCGAGGCTGCATTGGATCTCTCCAGATCCAGCATGAGGTCTTCGATCTCATTTTGGAGGCGGTGTTTGGTCTTCTCAAGGGAGGAACATTTTGCATTCACAGCCTCGATGGCTTCTTCGGCTTCCTGTAGTCTCTGCACCAATTTCTTCTTTGCCTCTTCCAGCTCCTCCGTTCTCTGGATCCCATCTGTCTCGTATTTGGTTCTCCAAGCTGAAACCTCAGTGTTGGACTTAGATAGAGCCCTCTGCAGCTCAGCTTTAGCTTCCTGCTCTTCTTCGAACTGTTCCCTCAGCAGATCGCAGTCATGCCGAGCAGACTGCAAAGCATGCGCGAGGGCATTCTTTGCCTTCACCTCCTCCTCCAGTTGTCTGCGCAGGTCTTCCACCTGCTGGTTGTACGAGTTCTTTCCTCTGGTCAGCTGTGAAATCAAGCACTCCTTCTCCTCCAGCTGCCGCCCCAGCTCTCCGTTCTCGGTGAGCAGTTTGGCCTTCTGAGTTGTCAAGTCGTTAGTGGTCCGTTGAGCCTCCTCGTATTTGCTCTTGTATTCGTTCATATTGTCTTCCGTTGTGCGGCACATCTTCTCTATGTTGGATTTGGCCTTCACCACACTCTCCATGTTGGAAGCCAAGTCGTCCAGCTCTAGTTTCAGCTCCGTCTTCTCCTTCTCCAGTTTCTGCTTCACACGCTGCAGGTTGTCTATTTGCTCCCCCAGTTCGGCGACGCTGTCAGCATGTTTCTTCCTCAGCGTGGCGGCAGTAGCCTCGTGTTGGAGGGTCGACTCCTCCAGCTCCCTACGCAGCTTCTGAAACTCAGTATCTCTCTTTTTGTTCATCTCCACCTGGACTGATGTGGCTCCGCCAGCTTCCTCCAGACGTTCGCTGATGTCCTCCAGCTCACGGGACAGATCTGAGCGCTGCTTCTCCACTTTGGCCCGCGCTGCACGCTCAGCATCCAGCTCTTCTTCCAGCTCCTCAATTCTCGCCTGGTTTTCTTTCAGCTTCTTCTGGAGCTGGACTGAGGCAACCTGCTCATCCTCCAGTCTTGAGTTGATTTGACTCACCTCAAAGTCCTTCTTCTTGAGTTTCTCCTCCAGCTGCTGCTTGTCATTTTCCAAGTCCATCACAGTTTCCTGGGTCAGTTTCAAGTCGCCTTCGAATTTCCTCCTTGAGCGTTCCAGGTCCATCCTGATCTTCTTTTCTTGTTCCAGTGAACCCTCCAGATCATCCACTTGCTGCTCCAGTTTTGCCTTAGCTTTAGTCAGGCTGTTGGCTTTGTCCTCTTCACTTTGAAGGTCATCCAGTGTCTGCTGGTGGGCCTCCTGTAGTGCCTTTTTCTCTTTGGTCAGCTTCAGAATGTTCTCATCCTGTGACGCCATCTCTTCCATGAGGTTTTTCACCTTATTCTCTGTCGCATGCTTCTCCTTTTCCACTTTGGCTAAAGTTAGCTCCAGGTCATCGATATCCTTTTTCAGCTCAGAGCACTCATCTTCAAGTTTGCGCTTCTTGGCTGTAAGATCTGCATTCAGCTCCTCTTCATCCTCCAGTCTTTCATTCATCTCTTTCAACTTGGCCTCCAGTTGAATCTTACTCTTTATGAGTTGTTCACACCGTTCCTCTGCGTCTGTCAGAGTGTCCTGTTCAGACTGTATCTGCAACGTCAAATCATTTTTTTCTTGGAGAAGAGTCACTATTTTCTCTTCGAGTTCCTTCCGCCGTCCTTCGGATTTTTCCAGAGCCT